GTTCACTTCTGTCTCCTCAATCAAGAGATGACTCCCCAGTAGAATAACTGATAACTGAAGCTCCTAGACTCTATTCCCCAAGACAGAAACCAACATTCCTCAGTGAAGTCCTCCTGTGTTGTGTTAAACAGTGAGCAAAACTAGAAGTTTTGTGCGTGCTAAAACAGTAAGAAAGCCTAGAAGTTCTGTGTGTGTTAAAACAATAAGAAAGCCTAGAAGTTCTGTGTGTGTTAAAACAATGAGAGAAAATCAAAAGTTCTGATGTTCTGCTGAAACAGTAAGAAAAAAATCTAGAAGTTCTAATACTGTGCTAAAACAGTGAGAAAAAATTTAGAAGTTCTAATATTGTGTCAACAATGAGAAAAATCTAGAAGTTCTGATACTGTGCTAAAACAGTGGGAAAGAAAATCTAAAAGTTCTAATACTGTGTCAAAACATTGGGAAAGAAAACTCAGAAGTTCTGTGTTACACTTCACCTCCTTCCTTACATTATCCAGAGCATCTGCAACTTATTCAGTTCTTAACAACAGCAAAACAAGAAAATAAAAACACGACAGTGTATAGAAGTTCTAATCCTAATTCTGAGCCTAGCTTTCTTTAAGAAGTTCTGATCCATAGTTTTTCTACTTAGGTAATGATATGTGCAATATCAACAATATGATATCTACATATTTAATGATGTTCTGAATGAAAAGTTCAAAGTCAGAATGACTTACCTTGAATCTAAAGTATGTGTTTGGGACCTGAGTTGCGCCTTTGAATGTTCTGGGGTCAGCAAGAAACGAAAAAAAATATGTTATGTTCTTTGATTCAAAGGGAAGAACAAAAATATTGTTTTAAGAATTCTGGTTTTTGAGAATGTTTGAATATTTTATTTTCTCTCTCTTTTTTTTATTTGATCACTCTGCCCTTTCAAAGGCCAGCCCCTTAAACGTGTGATGGAAAAACTTATTTATAGATGAGTTTGCTATGGTTTTTGGGGGAAATACAAATGGGATTTAAACCCTTTTGGCATACTGTTTCATTTCTTTTTAAACACAACTTTCATATGCTAATTTGGTGCAAATGTGGGGTTTGAGAAAAATGCAGGCGTGGACTAGATCAACAACACTTTAGAGCATTATGGCAGCTGGATGCAGGACTGTGCCATAGCAGTGCAGCAGACTGTTCAAACGAGGTTTTGGGGCTTTGTGATATTCTGATCAAAGAAGACCAGAATGAGACTCGAAGGGTGATGTTTTGATCGAAGCATAGAACATAGTCTTCATATGCTGAAGAGTCATGTTCTGATCGAAGTTTTGACCATTTTGCCCTTGTGAATGACTTTCTTGGAAAATTGTAATCCAAGACTTGAAACTTGATAGAAGCAAACCTGAGGGTCCAGGATGATCCTTTGAGAAATGAGAGGGCAAATTTTGAGGTACAACATGGTGCATACAAACTATTCAATCCATTTAATAAGAAGATTGTGTTGAATCGAGATATTGTGATTGTTGAAAATTCTTCCCGGGATTGGAATTCTAGTAATTTAATTAAAAACCCATTGATGAGCTCTGATTTCGATGAAGAAACTGATGAAGTCGAAGTTGAAGGAATTGCTGAGAATCCAGTCAAAGTCGAAGTAGAAGTAGTTGCTGACATTCTCAACACAACCAAAGTCGAAGAGGTTGTGGCTTAAATAAGCCAAAAACCTCAACGAAATAGAGTTCCTCCAGAAAGACTTCATGATTATGAAGTGGTGGGTGATGATAAAGTCACACTAGATGGAGAATTAGTTCATTTTTCTTTACTTGCATGTACTGAACCAGTCAACCATAAAGGAGATTTGAATATTCAATAGTGGAAGTTAGCTATGGTCTAAGAGTTACATGTAATCAAAAGAAACAAGATATGGGAGTTAGTCGAATTTCTCACACATACAAAAGCTATTGACATAAAGTGGGTGTTCAAGTTGAAACAAAATGCTGATGGATCGATAGCAAGACATAAAGCAAGATTAATAGCTCAAGGTTTTATTCAAAGAGCAGGACTCGACTAATTTGAAGTATTTGCTCCAGTAACAAGATTGGACATTGTTCAACTAGTGGTAGCATTGACATGTAACCAAGGCTGGTCGAAATTTCATTTAGATGTGAAATCAGCATTTATGAATGATACTTTAGACAAAGAATTCTATGTCCAAAAACCTCTCGAGTTTGTGATTCAGAAGGAAGCGAGTAAAGTATATAAGTTGCACAAAGTGCTCTATGGCCTTAAGCAGGCACCCAAGGCATGAAATGAGAAGATCAACTCATACTTAGTAAAATTGGGATTTGTAAAATGCAAGCTTGAGTATGGTGTCTATGTTCAGGTTGTGGCACAAGATAAAACAATCTTCTACTTGTATGTCGATGACATGTTGGTAACTAGATATAGCTTGGAGAACTTGTCGAGGTTCAAAGAGCTGATGATGAAGGAATTTGAAATGTCGGATCTGGGAAAATTATCTTATTTCCTAGGCATTAAATTTCAATTTTAGAAGCAAAGTATGGTGTTACATAAAAGGAAGTATGTCAAAGAGATACACAAGAGATTCATAATGGATGATTCGAATCCTGCATCCTTACCTAATGAACCAAATGTGAAGTTGGAGAATATTGGAGAGGAAGACAAATTCAATGTAACTTTATTCAAGCAAATCATGGGATCTCTGAGGTATGTGTTCAACAATCAACCTGATATAGGTTTCGCAGTTGGATTTATGATCAAATCCATGAGTGAACCAATGGTGTCACACATGAAGGTTGCAAGAAAAATCCTAAGATACTTAAAAGGGTCAATAAACTGTGGAATACTATTTTAACGAGACTATGAAAGCAAAGAAGCACTAGTTAATTGTTTTTCAGATACTGATTGGTATGTAGATAAGGAAGATCTAAGAAGCACAACTGGATATTTCTTTCAAGTATTTGGTGCTCCAATTTCGTGGTGTTCAAAGAAGCAACATGTGGTGGCATTATCATCCTGTGAAGCTGAATATATAGCAGGATCCTATGTTGCATGTCAAGTAATTTGGATTAGATCTGTACTTGAATAAATGACTGTCAAAGTGAAGAAACCTCTTGTGTTGAAAATCGACAACAAGTTAACCAAAAATCTAGCAAAGAATCCAGTTCTGCATCGAAGAAGTAAACATATCGAAGATAGGTTTCACTTTTTGAGGGAAAAGGTAAATCGAGGTGAACTTGAAGTTAGGCATTGCTCAAGTGAAGCACAGTTGACCAATACTTTCACCAAAGGATTAAAGATCAACAAATTCCTGACTTTAAAAAAGAAATTAAGAATAGTTCATATTGACTATTTTTAAGTATGTTCGACAACTTGGATTAAGGGGGTGTGTTGAAATATTTGATTAGATTTAATATTTAAATATGATTCAAGTTGTGTAAGCCCAAACCTAATTAGGGTTGTATATAAATAGTCATAGTGTGTATCTTTATTTTGTACAATACAATTCAAGTGAATAATAGAATCCTTATTTTCTTTATTATTCTCTCTCTTTCTCCTCACTAAAAATGCCTCACACACTAACAAATAGTATCACAGTGTAGGTGAAATACTCACCACACTAAATGAAAAGAAAAGATGAGATAGAAACAATAAATCTCATTAATCCATTGGGAGAAAAATATTCTGAAGTATTTATACAAGAATAATAACCTCATATCCTATTTTAGTGCAAGGCTAAAAGTACTTAATGAATATTAATAATACAATTAAGTAATATTGTCTATATTTAATAAAATAAATAAATAAATAAAACAATACATATAATCCTTATCCTATTTAAAAACTAAGTAATAAAAAAACCTTATTTAAAATTTACACAAAACCAACAATAATAACAATTACACTGCATAAAATATCAAGACCGGACTTTCTCACTGTTTATATCATATAGACTTTTATATTGACTGATTTCTTAATAGTTAAATCATAAATTTGTCACATGTAAACACTAATCAAATCCTTCATTTTCTTAAAATCAACATCTATTTCTAAAGAAAACATATGAGCTAATGTATTGACAACTTAATAATTCTACATGCCATACAATTGTTTTTTTATTTGAAACTTTTTCAATAGATCCATGTATTAGAAAATGATAGAAAGAATGTTACAATTATAATTTAATTTATCTGCATAATAATTTATAATACAATTCAATTAATATAATCTTAAGAGAAAATGTTATTTTTATAGTTAAAGTTGTTTTAATTCTGAATAAAAAAATAAAAAGTTTTAACAAAAAGTCCGTGGATAAAATACGCCATGTCCCACCTCAACTCTCTTTTTTAAGCAGGTTAAGAGAGACTGATCAACTTAAGGTACCGAGTCAAAAATGACGGGTCAAACGGATCAAAACGGCAGATCCGACCCATTTTACCATCCCTAATCATATACCATATTTTTCCAATCCAACATATCACATATTTTTTATAGAATTTAATGAGTTGCATTCACTTAATTATTTTCTAAGACGAACAATGTTCGAAGGTCAATTTATTACTTAAAAAATTAATTAGTTTTCAAGTGACACGCCAATGTGCAACATTATGCAATGTTATCACTTTCACTATTAATATGTAATTGAATTTGTTATAAATATACAAACATAAAAGTATTTGATAATTACAACAAAATCCAGTTGTTAAGATGTTATAATTAGTCCAATTCCAAGGGTAATTTGGACTATTTAAACAATACTTGCATTGCATTCATTTGGTAATTAATAGCGCTTATATGTCAACCCAATACTTTTTGTTCCATTTTATTTTATTTTTATTCCAATATTACGTATCTACTACAGGGTTGAGAGTCCATTACATGGATAATTAATAACAACCTTCTCCTTCTTGAAATATGAAGCGCTAGAAAAATCAGCCATTATACTACACAATTTTCAATCAGCAATCTTCTAAACTATTCAACTTTCGACATCTAAACCCTACACCATAAATATGAAAACGCCTAAACCTGCAAAATCCACTACCCTTCTTATTTCAAACTTCCGGTTGTACTACCCAGGTAGACAAGTTCTTCTTTTTAGGGTTTGTATCATGTTTGTTCTATTTAGAGAGAATGTGTAAACTGTGTTTTTGTTTGTGCAGTGCTTTAGACGTGGTTTATTATTCAGTCCATGTTGTTTGCTTTGTGTTTCATTTCTCCCTCTAAATCTTTCATTTTGGTGTTATTGTTACAACTTCTAAATCAATCTATGGCTCGCCCTATTAAATCTGTCCAGGAAATCAATGAGTCAAAGGATTTAGGGTTCAGTTTTTTTCAACTTCTTAAATTTTGTGTTTTCTAAACCTTTCCCAATTGATTAACTATGTGTTTGTTGAATTACAAAAATAGCTAAGCCGAAGAATCACACCGCTCACAACCAGTCTTATAAAGCTCACAAGAATGACATCAAGAAGACAAAGAGACATCACCACACTTTCACTAAAAAGGTAGTCATTCTAATCTTTAATTCTTAGTTTTCAATTTTAACTAGATTTGAATTAAATAATTTAGATTAATGGTTTATTTTTGTTGATAATTGTAGATGGATCCAAAGTTCTTGAGGAACAAGAGGTATGCAAGGAAGCACAACAAGAAACTTTTGGAAGTTGTTACTGAAGCAGAGTAAATTTTTTGTATTTTCATCCCAGACTATGTTAAATCTAAACTCTGATATTGTTTTGAAGGTTTTTTAATTTAGACAAATTACACTACTCTGTTAGCATTTGTTAAGTTTTTATCATGAATATTTATTTTCTGTATTTTGAGTAACTACTATAGTCGCTATCCTAATGTCATAATTTATTTGTTTTGAATTTTGAAAGTTAACTGAATGCTCATTATTCATCATTATGTTAATAATGGTCAATGAAACTCTACATTTCAAGTGCCGAGTTTTTATTCTTCTCCTTACAATTTTTTGTTGAATTTTTCACAGATTCTTGGCTTTGGAAATGAAGTGATGAAGATGTATGGTTCATGGAAATTTCACGAATTTTATTTGGATGAATTATAATTATGGTGTTTAGTAATGAAGCAGTGCAATGATTATGGTTACTCATTCATCAAGAACTTCCCAGTAATTCCATGATTCAAGCAAGGGTAGAAGGATTCACTTCCAGTAAAAAAAATCAATTCAATTAAATCTCATAGTCTCTTCTTTCTATTAACTTTCTCTCTTATTTAACTTTGTTTCTTCTTTTGTTAGTTCTAAAAATAAAAGAAAGAAGCAATTATTTGTACACTTGAATTTGTTACTTTTATTACATAAATGAAAAAAGATATGTATATGTGTGTGAAAGAAAGATTACATATGAAAATTGACACATATAGGAAATAAACAAATGTAAGAGATCTGAATTGATGTTGGGCATACAAAATTTATAATCTTATACTTTTTCTCACTCACTCAATTTTTTCTCTACATATATTCTTTTATTACAAGTTATTACTATTTTTCTCTAGTTTTTTTCATACACTTAATTTGTTCTCTACATATAAATATAGGTTGAATATTCATCATTATAAATATATAGAAACCATACTTTGGCATGCATGTTACAGGGTTACTGATACCAAAAACAATGCTTTAGAGAAACTGTATGAGCAATATATGCAAAAAGCTCAACTAACTCAAAAAGTTTAACTTCAATTTTGTTCTTTGAAAGATATATAATTTTTGAAATAAGGTATATAATTCTCATTATTTGAAAGACATGTTACATGGGTTACTGATGCAAAAGACGATACTTTGGAGAACCCCTATGAGCAACATATGCAAAAATCTCAACCTTCTCAAAAAGCTCAACTTAATCTAAATAGATACCAAGTTAGCTACACCACAGTTTGTTTCATCTCTTTGTATATTTTATTTCTTAATTCCTTATCTATCTTTTAATATGTGTTCTTAGATTTAGAATAAAATGATTGGATTCTATCTATTTTTCTTAAAATTGTGTTTGGTAAGTACTACTTTAGAGAGACGCCATGTTGTTTACTATTTACTACTCAACATGAAATTACATAACTCTAAAATTGGCTTGAAACAATACAGTACATGGAAAACCATGTACAAGCCATGTTATTTATTAAACCTCTTCTAGATAAATTATAACTTATTTCTATGCGGTATATTTTTCATTCTAATGAAGGTCCTTCTGAATATAGATCTACGGATAGATGTGAACGTATTTATGATAGACTGTTAATTTTAATATCAATTTTTGAAAATTTTCTTTTGCTGTTATTTTATATAATTGAATTTATATAATCAATTGTAGCATTTGTTATAACTACATATCAATACTTAAAATTAATATATATTAAACGAAGATAAACTTTATAAATGATTGTTTAATAAACATATAATATAAATTCATAGGACCCGATGGATTTCTTAATAGTTATATAGAAGTGTAAAGTATTATGAACATATCTCAAATCCGCGTTTTTAATACAATTCTTTATTGATTAAGTTCATATTGAATCTTTCAAAAACAATGTAGGTCCCATATAAATTTTTAATGGAAAAAAGGAGTCTTACTTGCATTATCCTTGAAGTACGTGAAGGTAAGAATATATAACTCTCAATACATATATGATGATGTATGCATAACCCCCAAGATATATATGGGTTGTGTTCATTGGTTGCTCACATCTCTACGACAAAAAGCATGTTTCTTTCATTGGAAGTTAAAAAATAACGAGTTCTTTATCTTCACGTCACAAACATGTAAATATTTTATATAATCAATTGTATTCCCTTGCTTCTAAGGACCCGCAACTTTGCTTGTCAAATGCATTTCAAAATTATAATCCATATTATTCTATTATGTTTGAGAGCTAGAAATGATAGGTGAGATTGTGAATTGAGATCTTAAATTAGAGGAGGAAGTTTTTAGTGTGGTGGAGAAGAAGTTGTTATACAAGATTATCAATTTAACGCTCAAGTTAGTGAGAGAATAAGGATCAATATAAGTTCAAATGAATTTTAATATTTAGGGTGTGAGTAGTTAAAACAGTCCACATAAGACTAAGAATGTTGTGTGGGTGACCGTTGGATCTAATCAAACAGTGATTGATGCATGTACTCGGAGAAAATGTACAACAAAGACAAACTTATTTTTGGAGGGTTATATGTGGTGTTTTAGCGTTGTTGAAGGTGTTATACAAGACTTATGCAGAGTGGTGAGAAACTCAGTATCTATGAATCTTCACTGAATGCCATTTCTTTTCAACCATGTGGTTAAGATATTTATAAAGGTTTATTGGGCCTAGATCTTTGGATTCAATGTGTGATTATTTTTCCCCTCTCTCAAGAGCGTGGGACGTGGAAACCATTATTTTCTATATTATTTTGGAGAACATGGTTCTCCTTCTTCCATTGACTAAGCTTTCAATGTAGTTAGTTCCTAAGGACACATCATTCCTCATGTTTCATAAGTGTGTGAGAGATGATTTGACCCAACCCCAATTAGGGGCGACTGATGCGACCAATGAGCGAGGGTTACGATCAACGGATGAGTGTTGTAACCAATAGGTGACATATGGTGCAAACTTTGTACCCATCCAGAGCTAATGTGCCAAACTTGTCTTGTTTCTTTTTGGATTACCTTATCTTGTGCATAACAAAATTATCTTAATACAATGTCTCCCTTAAACACGAGATCTCGTAAATAACAAAGTGATTTAGTATAAATCCTTCAGACGAGACTTTTAAGTTGAGCCCCTCATGTGAGACTTTTAAGTTGAGTACATCATACAATACTTTTAAGCTAGTTTATTTGTTTAGTTGCCCATTAAAGGGTCGACGTAGTTTAGGATATGGAAATAGGGAAAGCCATGAGGGGATTGAAAACGTAAGAGAATTCTATGGTATTGGCACAATATTTATATTTCCCCTTAGGTGGAAATGACTCTTCAAGGAAGATCCAACATTTATATTGCCACTTGGAGGATAAGGATTCTTTATAGAAAATCCAACACTTTTTTTGCTCTTGGGCGAGAATGACTCTTCAGAGGTGATCTAATATTTATATTGCCTCTTAAGTGAGAAGGACTCTTCAAATAAGATCCAACATTTATATTGTATCTTTGGCGGCAAGGACTATTCAAAGAAGATTCATCATTTATATTGCCTCTTGGGCCATAAGGAATCTTGATAGAAGATCCGACATTTATATTGCTTCTTTGGTGACAATGACTTTTTAGAGAATATCCAACATTTATTTTGTCTCTTGGGCAACAAGGAATATTTAGAGAAGATTCAACATTTATATTATCTCTTGGGTGGTAAAGACTCTTCAGAGAAGATCCAACAATTATATTTTCTCTTAGGCGGCAAGAACTTTTTAGAAAAGATCCATCATTTATGTTACTTCTTAGCTGCCAAGGACTCTTCGAGAAGATCTAACATATAATCATTCATCCATTTTATTTTATGGATAAATGATAATAAAACATTTTCAAAAGAGTTTATATATGACATACTAAATGCCTTTTGCCTTATTAAAATAAGAAATAGTAGATGTCTAATTGTAATAATATCTTAATTTTAGTTAGTTCCGTGTTCTAGGGATGAGCCTTCTATCTAGATCCTCGAGTTTCTAAGCTCCATGAGATAATTTTTTACATATGTGGTATGGACCTTGCTAGTTAGGTTGTAGTTTCCCATACGAGCTAGCGCAACAACTTGTCTAAGCACGAGATTGCCCTCCTGCATTTCCATTGGAACAACTTTGGAGTTTTACCTCCTCACAACTCTTTGTTTGGGGAAGAATTATCTAATATGGACGAGATCATGGGTTTCATCAATCAGGTTAGTTACGAATCTAAACCTTGCCTCATTTTATTCATCATTGAAATGAAAACGCCTCCATGTGAGCATATCGATTTCAACAAGCATCATGGTTCCAGTGTTATATACCATTGTGAATGGAAATTCATTGGTAGTTGAATGGAGGGTGGTGTGGTACGAAAACAATATTGATGGATTTTTCAGCCCAGAGCCCCTTGGCTACATCCATTTTTTTACCCCGTGCAATATTACTTTGTTTGCCTGTAGGTGGGCAATTGAAATAAACTTTGTTTTAACTCCTAGATTGTGATAAATATCAACCACAATGCAGATTGTGAATTGATTACCATTGTCTGATATGCTAATTACTAGTTAACCAAACCTACATATGATTTACTACCAATAAAATTGACGAATATTTTTTATGTGATTTTGGAGATGACTTCATCTTCTATCCATTTTGTGAAGTAGTCTAATCCAAAGATCGGGAATTTCATTTGGCCAAGCTCCAAAGGGGAAGGGCCTAAGATATTTATGCCCTATTAGTAAATCGGCCAAGGCGACATGACAAAATGAAAGATCTTGAATGTCACATGATGTAGGTTGGATTGCTTCTAAATTTGGTCACATTTAAGAGTGGGCTAGTAATATCCCTCCCTGAGAAACTTATCAAAAAGTGCCCGCTTTCCAATATGACTAACATATATTAGTTGGTGAACCTCTATGAGGGCCAAGGAGATTTTGTTTTCTTCTAGAAATCTCAACATGGAAAGGTTTTTCCCATATTCTAAAGCTTTTAAAACATCATGGTAAACTTTGCTGCACGTTTTTAA